GTCCCCATGCCCGTACTCACAGGACGCCCGGTCCCCGTTGGTGCGGGGGTTGATCTCCGCCTTGTTCTGCCGGCCCTTGGTGCCTGTCACCTCCTCCATGCGATAGATCTCGGCCAGGCACAGCTTGGGATTGAATGCAAAGTACATCTTGCCCACAGGAATGGAGAGGACGTGGTGGCTCCAGTCCCAGAGCTGCTGCAGGTTCTGGTTGTCCAGGACGTACAGGGTGTAATTCCTGGGGGAGGAGATGTGGATGGAGGCAGCGGGCAAGGGCACCTTCAGGGCCACATGTGCCCCCCAAACCCACACCATCCTCACCCATCCACCATGGAGTCACCACGGATCAGTTTGAGGTTCTTGAAGAAGGACAAGGAGACGAGGGCGAAGGAGTGTTTGATCTTCAGGAAGCCTGTGATGGTCTCAATGAGCCCCAGGCTGCTCTGCAGCTCCGAGGCCAGGTTATCTGGGAATGACACACTCTGTGAGCTCAGGGAGAGAGGCACCTCCCCATAGGTGAGGAAAACATCCCCTTCCTCCAGCCCCAGCCCTCCACGGCAGCTCTCCCACCCGGGGTGGGTTAGGCGGGGCCAGCTCTGGCACTCACAGCCCCGGCGGATGTTGAGGATGAGGTTCCCCTCGATGAGGGTGCAGCCCCCCAGCTCCTGCGCCGCCTGCATCGAGTCGATGGTCTTGGTGCCCACCTTGCACTCCTTGGGACACAGCCCCTCGCACTTGTGGCAGAACATGCTGCGGGCAGGGTGACGGTGACATGAGCCACCAGCGTGCCACCACCGTGCCTGCGGTGGGGCACTGGGGACACCCCCACCTGCTCTCGTTCCTGGTGTACCCCGAGGGACACTCGGACAGGCACTGCCGCTGGTGGATGACGAACTTGGAGGCGTCGCGGGGGTTGTCGGAGACCTTGCGGAGGCTGGCGCAGTACTCGGCGGTGACGCAGCGCCAGCCCTCGTACTCGTAGGTGCGGGGCGGGCACGAGGGCAGGCAGTGCCCGTTGAAGTGGAAGTGGCGGCAGGCGACGCACGCCCGTCGGTCGTGGGGGCGGCCGCAGCCCCCCAGGCACTCGGCGTGGCAGCACTCGCCCGCCGCCGTGCACGCCGAGCCCGCGCCGCACGGGCACACTGAGAGGGGAGACACGGCACGTGGGCACGGAGCAGCCCCGGGAGGGAGAGGAGAGAGGTGGGAAGGGCTCAGGGGGCTGCTGGTGTCCTCCAGGGGAAAGCAGGAGTGAGGGTGGGGTGGAGAAAAAGTTGGAGGGATGGAGGGAGGGAGGGACGTGGGGATGGATTCAGCGATGGAGGAGCACAGGGATGGATGGATGGATGGTGGGATGAAGGGAGGAATGTTACGGCGAGCTCATGGACACCCCTTTTTCCCCCTTTCCCCCAGGCCTCTGTGGCTCTGATCATGATAACCCCTGGATCCTCCTCCCTGCCCCAGGGAGCCAGGAGAGCCCACCCTGTCCAAACCTATATAGACCCCTGAAACTTCCTGCTCTTTCTCTTTTGCCCCGCTCTTCATGGACACCACAGAATAAAGAGAGCTGTTCCAACTTCCCTGGGGTAAGAGCCTCTTTTGAATACTTCTCCCTCTCCTGGAATTCCTCCCCTCACAGCCCCATATCTCCGAGCTGGTTGGATCCTAGAGGGGGCTGCGTGGAGGGGGGAAAACTACAGAAATTACAGTTGGTGCCCAACGTGGGGCTCAAACCACGACCCTGAGATTAAGAGTCTCAGAGGAATGCGATACAGGCACAGAAGGAGGGATGCTGGGATGTGGGGATGCAAGAATGGAGGGGGAAAGGGGAGGATGCAGGAATGCAGTGAGGGATACAGCGATGGGTTGATGGAGGAGTGGATGGAGGCATGGCAGCGCTGATGGAGGGGGGCCCAAAGGGATGGAGGAACGGATGGATGGCCTTGTGATGAGTGGCTGGCCAGGCAGGTGGGTAGGGGGATGAGGGGCTGCATGGAGGGACAGCAGGACAGATGGATGGACAAGGTGGGGCTCGGCCCATGCTGAACCCCACCTGCCCAGTGCAGCCACGCCGGGGTTGCAGCCCTGATAAGGATCTGTGTTTATAGTACATATTTCATTACCAGCTCTCCTGTTTACAGCAAACGAGCTCAGGAGGGGCCTGTATTTACCTCGCCGCTGGGAAAACACAGCAGCCGGGAGCTGGCTTCTCCTCGGAGGATGATACAGCACGGATCTGGTTACCCCACCGTGCTGCCTGCACAGCACGCTCCCAGCAGCAGGGCAGCCACAGCCATTCCCAGCTGGCTCCACCAGTGCCCTCCCAGTTTGCCCCACAGCACAAACCAGCACCATCCCAGAAAAAGCAGCACCACCAGGCCCCGTGCCACCAGCACCCACCTTTCTGGCAGTAGCTGGAGGTCCAGCAGCGATAATCCAGCTGCCCGTTGATGCTGGTCTGCACGCAGGGCTTCTCCACGTCCAGGATGCCCGGGCAGACATCGGCACACTCTTCAGCCGGTTTATTGCCGACGATGTAGGTGCTGTCCCCGGCGTCGGGCAGCAGCAGCCCCCAGTCGATGGTGGAGAGGTGGCAGAGCTCCTGGTTGCGCTCGATGCGCACCGAGCCGCGGAGGATGTGGCCCAGGCTGTGCAGCCCCACGTCCCGCAGGTGCGGCATCTCGAAGATGACCAAGGCGTAGCTGAAGAAGAGGTTGGTGCCACGGATGACGGAGAGGTTGGGGAAGAGATCCCGCAGGCTCTCCAGCCCGTAGACACGGAAAAGGAGCAGGTACTCTGTGATCATGAGCAGCCGAGGGAAGCTGAGCCCCCGGAAGTCCTCAGCGCCCGTGGTGAACATCAGCAGGATCTGCAGGTTGCCTTCGATGATGGAGCAGTTCTCCAGCTTCCGCAGCTGCGAGACGTCGTTGCGGATGTCCATGCTGCCGCAGACTGGGGTGGCAAGAGGGGGACCCCGTGGGCGGCAGCAGGAATGGGGCAGCTGCCCCCCACCCCACCCAGGGATCCCCCAGATGGTGTTGGGGGGGTTAATACCCTGGTGCTGCCTGTCAAGCGCGGCTGGGATTGGTTTGGGTGGCTCTCCGGGGCACGGCGCGTCCGTCAGCGATGATGCCAACGAGGCCTGGCAGGCTGCCCTGCCCCATGGCAGCCCCAGAATCATGCCCCAGCCCTGGGGGAAGCTGTCTGGGGGTGCTTTTCTCCTTCCCCAACTGTGGGTGCTCACAGATCTCCCCACTCACGGTTACCCAGTGAGGGGCAGCTCCAGCAAGGTTGTCCCTATCAACTCCCCCTCGTGCCCAGACAGGTAATGGGGCACACAAGGCCACCACAAGCGTCCATGTGGCACTGTCCCAGCCCCACATTGGCTGTCCTGGGGTTTTTAAACCCAGCAATGGGCAGCACGAGCCCCAGCACCTCCTGCTTCGTCATCCTGGCAGGGATACAAGAGCCAGACTAAGCAAAGAGCTTCCCGCTGACAGCGTCCCCAGGCAGAAACCAGGGCCAGGTCCTGGAGGGGATCATGTGTGTGGTTCACCCCTCATCTGTCCCTGCCAGCCTGGGCTGGCGGCTCGTGGCCATGTCCTTGTGACCCCATGGTGGCAATTTTCCCCTCTTGGTGTCACCCATGAACCGTGGGCACTGTGGTTCTGGCAGCTGCCCACAGCCCCTCACCCCAGGTTCAGCCCCTCACTGGGGGCCCTGTCCTGTCCCTCTGTCCCCTCCCTCTGTCCCTCTGTCCGGCCCAAGGGCTGCAGCCCCTTGTAAAGTCCCCCTGTAAGGGGAGGGGGTCCCCTGTGCCCCTGGCAGCACAGAGGACAGGGGTGCCAGGTGGGAGAGGGACAGTGACCTGTGTCCCTTGGGCAGCTCTCAGGTGCTTCATCCTCTTCCTCCATCGCTCCCACCCCCAGCACAGCCCCTCGGTGACTGGGGAAACTGAGGCACGGGTGGCAGGGAGAGGGGAAGGCAGGACAAATGCCAGACCCTGCTCGTACCTCCCAGCTGTCCCCCTGTTGTGGCCATGAGACCCAGGACCCACAGCCGCCCCTTCCCCACCATGGCACCCCCTCCCCAAGCTTTCCCACCCCAGCAGCGCTCCCGACTCCTGTGACAATTTTCCACCATCCCACTGGGGCTGAGGGACCCGTGTGTGCCCAAACCCCCCACTCCACTCCCCTCACCCCACCCCAGCAACAGCGAGCTCCCAATCTCTGCCCCTCCTGCCCAAAACGGGGGGTCTGCAGCACCGGGGGGTGCTGCCACGGGGGCAAACTGAGATGGGGAACACCCCAAGAGCTTTACCTCGGGGTTTTCTCTTGCAGCCCCCACCCCACAACTCCCTGACACCCCACGCCGCTCCCAACCTCCCCATCCCAGGCACTTACTTTCGGAAGGAGCCCACACGGGGGGCACAGGGAGGTGGCCAAGGAGCAGCAGCATCACCCCCAGGCGTGGGGCACGCAGCCCCCTCTGCCCCATCCTCCGGCGGGACCCCCAGGACCCCGTCCCCGTCCCTGCCGCTCCGGCTCGGGTCCCACTCGCCGTGTCCGGCCGGTGCCGTGGGCCCACGGACCCTGCCCGGAGCCTGCGGCCCCTTCACTTCTGTTTTCCAAAATATTTAACCTGACAACTGTCAGGGCCAGGGCCGGGGCATGTTTGGGAAATAGAGAGGGGGAAAACACGGCGGCCCCCCCGCCGGTGTGGGTGGGAAGGGAGAACTGCCTCCTGCCTCAGTTTCCCCAGCCACAGCACGAGGTTCCGAGCTCCTCTGGCAGGAGGACACCGGGAAAGCAGCCAGCAAGGCATGGAGCAGCACAGGAGGGATGATTTAAGGGTCACTCTGCCTCGCAGGGGGAATTTGGGGTGCCAGGAGCGCACAGCTTTGGGGTCCCCACGGAGGAGCAGCCCTGCAGTGAGGGAGGAAGCACTCAGCACCTGCCTGGCTGTGACAGCCATCCTCAAGGGGAAGGGGAAGTGGGAGAAGAGGATAGGGGAGGAGGAGGTGACATTTATTTTTCTCATTAGGACAAAGCAGGGAGGAGGGTCCCAGGCCTGGGCAAAACCTGGGGGCAGGAGTGGGGTGCTGATGCCCCAGCGACCCTCCAACACCACAGAATTAGGAGCTGGACATGCCCCTGCCCCCGGGGATGGGGCGATGGGGGGACCCCCAAGGCTCTTCTCACAGAGGTGCTGGTTTTTTTGGGAGGAGCTCAGGAGCAGCTGTTCCTCCGCCGGCGCAGCAGAGCGGCGTGGGGGCTCCTCTCCTCCTCTTGGTCGCTCTCACAGCAGCGCTGGGGGCACAGGGGGGCTGCAGGGCAGGGATGGGGCATCCCCCAGAGCAGAGCACAGCACCCACCCAGTTCCATGCCCACCACACTTCCCTCATCCCACCCCACCAACAGGGCGCCCCACGCTCTGCCCCTCCTGCCCAAAACAGGGGTGCTGCAGCACAGAGGGTACTGCCACAGAGAGAAACCCCCCAAATCCCTTCTCCCCCCTCCCCTGCCCATGCTGGGTGGGATCTGGTGCTCCTGGGGGCTCACCAGCTCCTCGTCCTCGCTGCCGAGCGGCCGCGTGCGGCACAGGCGGTTGCAGGCGGACACGGTGTTGTAGGAGAGCTATGGGGGGACAGGGACAGGTGGGGGTCCTTTCCCAGATCCCCAAATCTACACCCCAGGGTGCTGGGACCCCACAGCCGGGCACCTTCCACTTCCTCCGGGCGTTGAACTTGCGGAAGTTTCTCATGTTGATGGAGGAACGGCTCCGGCTCAGCGCCTGCGTCGCGCTCAGGGGCTGCGGGGCGAGGACGTGGCACTGTCACCGTGTCCCCACGGCGCTGCCAGGCCCTGCCAGCCCCTGCCCGTGCCGCTCACCTTGATCCAGGGGTGCAGCAGGCACTCGGCTGCGCTCATGCGGCGCCTGCGGTGCAAAGGGAGGTTGGGGTTGGGGGTCCCGGCCCCACAGATCCACTGTGGGGATGGGGATGGTGGGGACAGAGAGGGGAACCAGATGGGAGTGGAGATGGGGGGATGGAGATGTGGGTGAGATGGAGATGGAGATGATGGAGATGGAGATGATGGAGATGGAGATGGATGGGGATGGGGATGATGGGGATGGGGATGGGATGGGATGGGATGGGATGGGATGGGATGGGATGGGATGGAGATGGAGATGGAGGTGAGGATGGAGACGAGGATGGGGATGGAGATGGATGGGGATGGGGATGGGGATGATGGGGATGGGATGCGATGGGATGGAGATGATGGAGATGGAGATGAGATTGAGATGGAGATGGAGATGGAGATAGGGATGGGAATGGGAATGGAGATGGGGATGGAGATGATGGGGATGGAGATGGAGATGGAGATAGGGGTGGGAATGGGGACAGGGATGGGATGGGATGGGATTGGGATCAATGGGATGGGATCAGTGGGATAGGATCAATGGGATGAATGGGATGGGATGGATAGATGGGATGGGATTGATGGGATGGGATTGATGGGATAGGATTGGGATCGATGGGATGGGATGGGATGGGATGGGATGGGATGGGATGGGATGGGATGGGATGGGATGGGATGGGATGGGATGGGATGGGATGGGGATGGGATGGGGATGGGATGGGGATAGGATGAAGATGGAGATGGGGATGAAGATAGAGATGGGGATGAAGATAGAGATGGGGATGGAGATAGAGATGGGGATGATGAGATAGGGATAGGATGGGGATGGAGATGGAGCTAGAGATGGGGATGGGGACAGGAATGGGATGGAGATGGAAAGAGAGATGGGGATGATGGAGGTGGCGATGGGGATGAAGATGAGGCCGGGGCCAGGATGAGATGGGGATGGGTGTGATGAAGATGGGGACATTGGAGGTGGAGATAACGGAGGTGGAGGTGGGGGCAGAGATGGGGAAGGAGATGGAAGGGATGGCGATGGGGCCTCACTCTGGCTCCTTCACCAGCAGCTGGCGGATGAAGTCCTTGGCCATCTCGGAGGTCTGGCTGAAGCAGCGCTCCTCAAACTCGTAGGCACCAGCCACAACATTGGAGAGGGTCTCAGCATCCGTCTCACCCTGGAAGGGGGACAGGCCACTGAGCCTGTGGGGACACAACAGAGCTACTGAGTGCCAGGACAGCGCTGGCTCGGCCGCCCCAGCACCCACAGCGTCCCTGTGCCTCAGTTTCCCCCAGCCACAGGGAGCATTGGCCCGTACTCACAGAATGTAGGTGATGACTCCAATGCTCCTGAAATGCAGAGGTGGGCATCAGGTGCTGGCCTGGGGTCCCCCTGTGCCCTGTGGCACCCGGGGGGTCCCTCCTCACCCACCAGCTCAGCCTGTTGCCCCCCACAGGTCCTGTTTGCTCACCACATGTCTGTTGCGGGGCTCAGCGGCTCGTAATTGATCACTTCAGGAGCTGGGGGCAAACACAGAGCCAGGGTGGGACATCAGAGGGACAGGGGACAGGAGCACGCCTGCATGCCCATCCCCACCCCTGGCTGAGCAGCCCAGCAGTGCAGGGACCCCCAGGGATGTGCCAGCCCCCTACCAATGTACTGGGGGGTCCCACAGAGGCTCTTGAAGGTGATGCCATCCTGCAGCTGCTGGGCCAGCCCGAAGTCGATGATCTTGATTGAAGGTTTGGGGACATCCTTGTCCTGCAGCATGATGTTCTCGGGCTGTGGGAACAGGGCCGGGCACAGGGGTGATGGAGGGGTGATGGGGGTCACAGGGGGTGATGGAGGGGTGATGGGGGTCACAGGGGATGATGGGGGTCACAGGGGATGATGGAGGGGTGATGGGGGTCACAGGGGTCACAGGGAATGATGGGGGTCACAGGGGATGCTGGAGGGGTGATGGGGGTCACAGGGGATGATGGGGGGTCACAGGGGTCACAGGGGATGATGGGGGGTCACAGGGGTCACAGGGGATGATGGGGGGTGATGTGGGTCACAGGGGATGATGGAGGGGTCACAGGGGTCACAGGGGAGGATGGGGGGTGATGGGGGTCACAGGGGTCACAGGGGATGATGGAGGGGTGGTGGGGGTCACAGGGGTCACAGGGGATGATGGAGGGGTGATGGGGGTCACAGGGGTCACAGGGGATGCTGGAGGGGTGATGGGGGTCACAGGGGATGATGAGGGTCACAGGGATCACAGGGGTCACAGGGGATGATGGGGGTCACAGGGGATGATGGAGGGGTGATGGGGTCATGGGGGGGGGTGATGGGGGTCACAGCAGCACCCCGGGAAGCTGAGAAGAGCAGGACCAGGGCTCTGGAGAGGCCTGGCAGTGCTTGGATCCTCAGGGAGGGGGGATGGAGGGTCCCCATGGGCACCTTGAGGTCGAAGTGAGCGATGAGGCGGGCGTGCAGATATTCCACCCCACGCAGGATCTGCCCCAGGAACTCGATGGCCTCCTCCTCTGACAGCATCTCCTTCTCCGCTATGAAGTCAAAGAGCTCCCCACCGCTGATCCTGTGCGGGGTGGGGACAGGAGAGCTCGGCCACCTCCACCACGTGGCACAAAAAGGGTTCATCCCCACCAGGAGCCCACTCACAGCTCCAGGACGAGCACCACCTCGGCTGTGCTGGCGAAGAGCTGGTGGAGCTGGATGATGTTGGGGTGGTGGAGCTGGCGGAGGATGGCGACTTCCCGCTCCACCTGTGCCCTGTCCACCCCCAGGAGGCCGCCCTGGTCCCGCCGTGTCTTCACGAACTTGGCGGCGTACAAGGAGCCGGTGCTGCGCTGGCGGCAGAGCCTCACCACACCGAAGTGGCCACTGCAGCGAGAGCTGGGCTGGGCACGGCCGGGCTGACCCCAGGCCGGGGAGGAACCCAGAAATCCGGGCGCCCCTGGGATCCCTGCCCGTGCCCCGCTGGACCTGCCTGCATCCTGCTCACCTGCCTGGATCCCACTCACCTACCTGGATCCCCCTCACCTGCCCAGATACCACTGCCCAGATCCCCCTCACCTGCCCAGATCCCCCTCACCTGCCCGGATCCCACTAACCTGCCCTGATCCCACTGCTCAGATCCCACTCACCTACCTGGATCCCACTCATTTGTGATGGGTCCCACTCATCTGCTCAGATCCCACTGCCCAGATCCTGCTCACCTGCCCAGATGCCACTCACCTGCCCAGATCCCACTCACCTGCCTGTGACCTGCTCACCTGCCCAGATCCCTGCTCACCTGCCTGGATCCCACTCACATACCCGGACCCCACTCACCTGCCCGGATCCCCCTGCCCAGATCCCCCTCACCTGCCCAGATCCCCCTCATCTGCCCAGATCCCACTCACCTGCCCGGATCCCCCTCACCTGCCTGGATCCCCCTCACCTGCCCAGATCCCCCTCACCTGCCTGGATCCCCCTCACCTGCCTGGATCCCCCTCACCTGCCCAGATCCCCCTGCCCAGATCCCACTCACCTGCCTGGACCCCACTCACCTGCCCGGATCCCCGTGCCCAGGTCCTGCTCACCTGCCCAGATCCCCCTGCCCGGATCCCCCTCACCTGCCCGGATCCCCCTCACCTGCCTGGACCCCCCCTGCCCAGCTCCTGCTCACCTGCCCAGCTTCTCCAGCAGCTCGTAGGTGTCCTCCAGGTGGCCCAGGTTTGGGGTGGCTGCCGGGCCCTCGCTGCCCTCGCCCTCCCTGGGCTCAGCCCCGTCCTGCGGGGCAGCACCGGGACCTGGCTCAGCCCCTGCCCGGCCCTGGGGGTGCAGAACCCCCCAGGACCCTCCAAGGGGATTTCCCTGGTGCTGCATCAGAGCTCAGGCCCCTTCCAGGTTACACTAAATTAGTCAGAATGTGGAAATTTGGAGACTTTCACCCCGGAGAAGGACTGCAGGAGCTTCTCAGGGGTTTGGGAACGGGGTAGGAGCAGGAAGAGAGGGGCTCCCTCTCCCTCACTGCGCTCGCGGTGCAAAATGCAGAGAAAACACAACATTTGGGGTTGTTTTTGAAGAGGATTAATAGGAGATGAACCACTGTGAGCCCAGCCCAGGCAGTCCCAGCCCCCTGGCAGTGCCCCCACAGCCCTGGCTCACCTGGGTGCTGCCAGGGGCACCCCTCAGCTCCCCGTCAGCCAGGACCAGGCTGCTCTCGGCCATCCCTGCAAGGCAAGAGGGGTGAGGGGTCAGTGGATCTGCAGGGCAGCTCCTGGCAGCACTGGGGGCACAGGGGTGGGCACGGGGGGACATGCCAGGAGCCTCCTCTGTGCCCAAGGGAGGCGATGCCACCGCTCTGGGATGGAGCTGCTGCTGGGCAAGGGGGACAGTGGGACAACAGGGTCAGGAGGGGAAACATGGATTGTGCAGAAGGAGAAGGAGAGGAGAGGAGGAGGAGAAGGAGAGGAAGAGGGGGAAGGAGAAGGAGGAGAAGGAGGAGAAGGAGAGGAAGGAGAAGAGGAAGAAGAGGAAAAAGAGGAAGAAGAAGTAGTAAAGAAGAAGAAGTAAAGAAGTGAAGAAGAAGAAGTAAAGAAGTGAAGAAGAAGAAGAAGTAAAGAAGGAGAAGAAGAAGTGAAGAAGAAGAAGTAAAGAAGGAGAAGAAGAAGAAGAAGAAGTGAAGAAGAAGAAGAAGTAAAGAAGTAAAGAAGAAGTAGTAAAGAAGTAAAGAAGAAGAAAAAGAAGAAGTAAAGAAGAAGTAAAGAAGTGAAGAAGTAAAGAAGAAGAAAAAGAAGTAGTAAAGAAGGAGAAGAAGAAGAAGTAACGAAGAAGAAGAAATGAAGAAGTAAAGAAGAAGAAGAAATGAAGAAGAAGAAGAAATGAAGAAGAAGTAAAGAAGAAGAAGAAGAAGATGAAGAAGTAAAGAAGAAGAAGAAATGAAGAAGAAGAAGAAATGAAGAAGAAGTAAAGAAGAAGAAGAAGAAGATGAAGAAGTAAAGAAGGAGAAGAAATAAAGAAGAAGAAGAAGTAAAGAAGGAGAAGAAGAAGAAGAAGTAAAGAAGGAGAAGAAGAAGAAGAAGTAAAGAAGAAGAAGAAATGAAGAAGAAGAAGAAGAAGAAGGAGAAGAAGAAGAAGTAAAGAAGGAGAAGAAATGAAGAAGAAGAAGTAAAGAAGGAGAAGAAGAAGAAGTAAAGAAGGAGAAGAAATGAAGAAGAAGAAGTAAAGAAGGAGAAGAAGAAGAAATAAAGAAGGAGAAGAAATAAAGAAGGAGAAGAAGAAGTAAAGAAGGAGAAGAAGAAGAAGTGAAGAAGAAGAAGAAGAAATAAAGAAGAAGAAGAAGTAAAGAAGGAGAAGAAGAAGAAGTAAAGAAGGAGAAGAAATAAAGGAGAAGAAGAAGTAAAGAAGGAGAAGAAATAAAGAAGTAGAAGTAAAGAAGGAGAAGAAGAAGGAGAAGAAGAAATAAAGAAGAAGAAGAAGAAGTAAAGAAGGAGAAGAAGAAGAAGAGAAGGACTGTGACTGCTCTGGCTGAGCAGGGCAGAAACATCCTGTGCTGAACTGCCCAGGGCCCCTGTTCCCATCTCCTGTGCCACTGCAGGGAGGGATGGTGGGGAAAGATGTTGCCAAGGTTTTACTTTTCATTATCCTGCTCTGATTTGATTAGTAATAAATGCAATTAATTTCCCCAAGCGGAGTCTATTTTGCCCATGACATTGAGAGGAATGACGGATTTGTCTTTTCAAACCAGCTGTGGGTTTCAAACCAGCACTGAGAGAGAAAAGGAACAATGGGAAGGATTCCACTGATTGATGAATGGAAAAAGATTTTTGCTTTTCCAAATAAACCTTAGGTTTGCTGATAAATGAAACTGGATATTGAAGGATGAAAGAAACAATGAGGAAAACCCCTAAATTCCATAAGAAAAAATTAAAAAGGAGGGGAATTCCTTAGTATCCATTAGAGGGGAATCTTTGGTATCAGACATTTTGGGAAGCCTGAACTTCTCAAGTACCTCAGAAAAGGGGAAAGAGAGAAGGGAAATGCGGAGAGGAAATTGGGATAAAAACTGGGGAGACCCCACGGCCTCTCCCTTTATTCAAATAAAATAAAAACTCTCCTCTGTCTCCTTTTTGGACAGAAACCTCTGATGTTTGTGGATTAATTTTACTGACCCCTCCCTGCCCCGACCCCCACCCCGCAGCCCTTTGTTCTTGATGTAAAAATTAAGTTAAAAGTTAAAAATGGATGTTAAAGTATGCAGACATTAAGTAGAAAAAGCATAAACTTTTGTTTCTATAATTATAATATAAATACGTAAAAATTAAATTAAGTTGATGTAAAAATTAAATTAAAAGTTAAAATAGATGTTGAAGTACACAGACATTAAGTAGAAAATCATCAACTTATGTTTCTATAGTTATAAATAAGAATATGCCTGAAGTAAATTGAGAAATGGTTGATAAGGCAGTGAAGAGTCTTTAGTATAGTAATGTGATTGTTTAAAGCTAAAAGTTGATGTAAAAATTAGATTAAAATTTAAGAATGGATGTTGAAGTACACAGACATTAAGTAGAAAAATCATTAACTTATGTTTCTATAATTATAAGTAAGAATATGCCTTAAGTGAGTGAGAAACTGTGTTAGAAAAGTTGGTGGAGTTTCTAGTATAGGAATGTTATTACATGAAGTTAAAAGTTGATGTAAAAAATAAATTAAAAGTTAAAAATGGATGTAAAAATAAAGTACACAGACATTAAGTAGAAAAATAATAAACTTTTGTTTCAATAATTATAAATAAGAATATGCCTTAAGTGAGAGAGAACCTGTGTTTGATAAGATGGTGAAGAGTCTATAGTATAGGAATGTGATTCTTTAAAGTTAAAAGTTGATGTAAAAATTAGATTAAAATTTAAAAATGGGTGTTGAAGTGCACAGACATTAAGTAGAAAAATCATAAGCCTATGTTTCTATAATTATAAGTAAGAATATGCCTTAAATAAGTGAGAAACTGTGTTAGAAAAGATGATGAAGAGTCTATAGTAATGTGAATATATAGAGTTAAAAGTTAAAAAGCTATAATAGAAGCACATGTGTATATGTGCAACAGCAGCCTGTTAAATAAAAATAACCACAGCGCAGTAAAAGCGAATAAAGGTGATAAGTTAGAAAAGCAAAATAAACCTTGTAGCGACTGGCCCTTAAATTAGAAAGTTTGATATTGTCTTGGAGCAAAGAGTTTGTGACCGCTTCGTGCCATGGCTGGATGCTTATTCTAAAATCTCACAGCCCCCAAGAATAATGTTTATCCAAACAATAAATCGTTGTATGGTGGAATCTGAGGTATTGATGACTCCCAGATTGTAGAAAGTCTCTGTCTTTGTGCCCCACTGCTAAAGGAGAAGTCATAATTCGTCTGTGCTGGTTTCAAGGTTGTTTATTCTGTTTATCTCTAACATGTTCTGCTGCCCTGCCGCAGCTCTGTCCTGCAGGGCAGCGTGTGGGGCTCTGCCCTCAGTGGGATGGTACAAACATTAAATACCACAAACTACCTGTGCTGGATTTACAATAACGTGCCAATATCTGTCACCTACGTTGGACAGTGTGTCCCCAGCCTAAACCAACAGAAAAATGCCAACACCACAGTGAAACATGGAGGGCATGAAGAAGGAGAAAAAGGACAAGGCACACCCAATTTCCTCCATCTTGTCCCTTTGAACCCCTAATCTAGAAACCTAAAATTTTACTTTTGCATCCATGTCACACTTAATTATTACTTATATCAAACACTCAGAGCTGGTAATTCATCCTGTAAGATTGAAAACTCTTTTCCATGGACAGAGATCACAGCCAGTGTCTCTGGGGGCTCTGTCCAGGGGGGTTCCTGACCCAGGGCAGGGATGGGACAGGGACAGGGGCAGGGACAGGGACAGGACAGGGACAGGGACAGGGACAGGAGCAGGGACAGGGACAGTCCTGCCCTGAAGAAAGAGGCACATCCCGCTGCTGGACACCATTCCCAGCCCCATGGGCTGTGCTGCACCACTGAACAGGACCTGGGACCCTTCCTGTCCCCCCTGGGACCCCAAAGGACACTCTGCGGTCCCCAAGCCCCGTTCCCCTCCAGCCTCTCCCCCTGCCAGCCCAGCTGTGCCCCCTTACCCTCCCGGAGCCTTCCTCCACATCCAGCAGTGCTTCTTCCTCACTCCCCAGCCCGCAGCCAGCACCAGGGGCTGTCCCCTGTGCCCACCCTGGCTGTCCCCTGGCACCCGGGGCACCCGGGGCACCCTGGCACGGCCCATCCCCGGCCGTGTGACGTGTCCGTGGGAGGACAGACAGTGTGTCTGTTTGTCCCCTGGGGGTGGACACCAGCAGCTGATTCCCCCGTGCTGTGCCAGACACGGGCTGGCATTGTGCTGTGTTGGAAAGGAGGGAAACTGAGGCACGGGGGCTGCGGGGACAGAGGGTCCTGTCCCACCACGCCACCCACCAGGAAAACCAGCCCGGCCTCGGCACTGGCTGCCCAAAAATGAGCTCCCAGCTCAGCGTCCAACTTCCAAAAAACCCCGTTGGACCCAAAACCTCCCCCGAAGCTGATGTGTCAGGGGGACCTGGACCCCTCACCTCCAGCTCCAGCCTTCCTCCAGCAGCCCTGGCAGCACCAGGGTCTTCCTCACCTTCCTCTTCGCCTTCCTCCTCCCCCCAGCTGTGAAGAGGAGCCCAAAAAAAGCCTCTTAAGAACAATTCCTGGTGGCTGCAGGCTCAGCTCGTTGAGGAGCGGCCCAGAACAGCCCAGAACATCCCAGAACGGCCCAGAACGGCCCAGAACGGCCCAGAACAGCCCAAAACAGCCCAAACCAGCCCAGAACGGCCCAAAACAGCCCAGAACAGCCCAGAACAGACCAGAACAGACCAGAACAGACCAGAACGGCCCCAAACAGCCCAGAACGATTCAGAACAGCCCAGAACAGCCCAGAATGGCCCAAAACAGCCCAGAACGGCCCAAACCAGCCCAGGACGGCCCAAACCAGCCCAGAACGGCCCAAAACGGCCCAGAACAGCCCAGAACAGCCCAAAACAGCCCAGAACGCCCCAGAACGGCCCAGAACACCTCAAAACAGCTCAAAACAGCCCAGAACGGCCCAAAACAGCCCAGAACAGCCCAGAACGGCCCAGAATGGCTCAAAACAGCCCAGAATGGCCAAAAACAGCCCAAAACAGCCCAGAACAGCCCAGAACAGACCAGAATGGCCCAGAACGGCCCAGAACAGCCCCAAACAGCCCAGAACGGCCCAGAACGGCCCAGAACACCTCAAAACAGCTCAAAACAGCCCAGAATGGCCCAAAACAGCCCAGAACAGCCCAGAATGGCCCAGAACGGCCCAGAACGGCCCAAAACAGCCCAGAACGGCCCAAAACAGCCCAGAACGGCCCAGAACGGCCCAGAATGGCTCAAAACAGCCCAAACCAGCCCAGAACGGCCCAGAAGGGCCCAGAACGGCCCAGAACGGCCCAGAACAGCCCAGAACGGCTCAAAACAGCCCAGAACGGCTCAAAACAGCCCAAAACAGCCCAGAAAAGCCCAGAATGGCCCCAAACCACCCAGAACGGCCCAAAACAGCCCAGAATGGACCAAAACAGCCCAAAACGGCCCAAAACAGCCCATGATGCAGACAGAAGGGACAATGCCACCTTTGCAGGCTTGGATGTGCTGGTGGCCAGGTGGCCACAGTCCCCTCCTCGCCACAGCCCAGCCCGTCCCGAGGCTGCCGGTGTCACCCGGCTGTCACCCCGGGGCCACCAGGCCACCTTCCCGTGACGTTTCCCCGTCACGTTCTCGCAGCTTTGGTCGCTGCTTCCTTCCTGTGGCGGGCAGCAGAGGCAGAGCACAGCAGGGCAGAGGGGCTGCCTCACCCTGAGTGTCCCCTGTGTGTCCCCTGTGTGTCCCCTGCGTGTCCCCTGCCTGTCCCCTGCGTGTCCCCTGTGTGTCCCCTGCCCCTGCATCACCAGCCACGGACACCCAAAGCCCCGTGGGGCCGAGCAGAGGTAGGAGCCTGAGCTGGGAATGGGGCTGGGGGCTGAGGTTGGGTTTGCAGAGAGGCCAAGGGGTGAACCCTGAGCAGGGATGCTCCCCCTGCCCAAAGGCAGGAAAAACACGATAACGGGGTGAAAACAGAAGGTTTGGGGTCCCCTACCCAGACAGATCTTCCCCTCTCCAAAGGGGGAAGTTCAGCCCGGAAATGTCTCAGGGAGCAAAACTTTCAGCCCGTTTAGGAATGATCTGCCCCGTTCCCACCTCAGCAGTGCAGAGTTTCAGAGGCACATCCCGCCCCGGGCAGCAAATCCCCCTGAGCTGCCCCACCGAGGCCAAGGATGGGGAGCAGGGGGGAGCACAGCCCCCTGCCCAGCACCCCCACCCAGCTGGGGACAGTGGCATTGTCCCCACAGCCTGGCCGTGACCTGAGCTGGGTTACAGCAGTTTGGGATGTTCTGTTTGTCTTTGTCACCTCACCTCCCCCTGCTGCAGGTTAAAGGTGGAGCTGGGGTGTCTTTGCTGGATCCCCTTGTACTCAGACAAGCCTCAACCCACTCTTCTGACTCAGTTTTGTCTCCCAAATCCAACCAGCCCCAGCATTTTCCACCCCCTCATGATTTATTAAAAAAATATGGATATTGATCTAGTATCGATATCCAACTGTGACGGACAAAAACTCTCTAACAGTTTAAAGTTAGAAAGTGTATGTTTATTGTGTGTGGGATAGGTCCCAAATACACACCGCCCCTTCCAGGTGATTACAGAGTCTTTTTATCCATACAAGTATTGAATACACAAAATACAAATACATATTCATCATTTTGGTACATCCCATTCCCCGCTTCGTATGCTAATCACTCCAAAAGCTATTAAGCATGCGTAGTTTGTCCCTTGAAATGGGTCGGTGGTCCCTTTTATGGGGAGGGGTCCCAAAATGAGGAAGTAAATTAAGTCTTCCTCGTTCTGACCTTTCTACCTTTTCAATGCAAATATGACAAATGAACTCTTGGTAGAACTCCCATTCCTTGTCTTCAGTTGGTTTCAGAACAGAGGAGGCCCACAATTGTCTTATGTTCCTAAAAGCTATTTATCAGTTTCTATATTCTTCATTATAAACCCAGCTAACTAAACATTGTGCTGACAAGCAATTAATTATTAGTTAACTACTAACTCCTAACTTCATCAAGGCCTACTCATTTATTATTCTCATTTTAATTAACTCTAGTAAGGCTTATTTCTAACTAAAATCTTAGCTCCTCAAAATCTCTAAATGCCTTAAAGTTTACGTTTCACTCACGCTTCTGCTGGGGATTAGAGTTGTTTTGGTGGGTGTTGGCAGCTCAGGGTCAAGCTCAAGGTCCCTGAGGAGCTGCTCAGCCTCTCCTGTCCCTGCCCAGGGCTGGCCTGACACGCTGGGGACATCAGAGGGGCTGGAGGAGTCACAGGCTACATCACTGTCCCCAGGGCTTTGCTCTTTTGGGGTCCAGAGGTCACTGTCCCTCCCCATCATGCAAAATTGGGGAGATGGGACCCCAAACTGGGGGAGATGGGACCCAAAATTGGGGAGCTGGGATCCCATAATTGGGGGAGATGGGATCCCAAACAGGGGGAAATGGGATCTCAAAATTGGGGGAGATGGGACCCCAAATTGGGGGAGATGGGACCCAAAATTGGGGGAGATGGGACCCCAAATTGGGGGAGATGGGATCCCAAATTGGGGGAGATGGGATCCCAAATTGGGGGAGATGGGACCCAAAATTGGGGGAGATGGGATCCCAAAATGTGGGGAGATGTGACCCCAAATTGGGGGAGATGGGACCCCAAAATGTGGGGAGATGGGACCTAAAATTGGGGGAGATGGGACCCCATAATTGGGGGAGATGGGACCCAAAACTGGGGGAGATGGGATCCCAAACTGGGGGAGATGGGATCCCAAATTGGGGAGATGGGACCCAAAATTGGGGGAGATGGGATCCAAAACTGGGGGAACGGAGATCAGGGTGAGTGGGGACCCCAAAATGTGGGGAGATGGGACCCAAAATGTGGGGAGATGGGACCCCAAATTGGGGAGATAAGATCCCAAATTGGGGGAGATGGGACCCAAAATTGGGAGAGATGGGATCCCAAAATGTGGGGAGATGGGACCCCAAACTGGGGGAGATGGGATCCCATAATTGGGGGAGATGGGATCCCAAACAGGGGGAAATGGGATCCCAAAATTGGGGGAGATGGGATCCCATAATTGGGGGAGATGGGACTCATAAGTGGGGGAGATGGGACCCCAAATTGGGGGAGATAGGACCCCAAACTGGGGGAGATGGGATCCCATAATTGGGGGAGATGGGACCCCAAAATGTGGGGAGATGGGATCCCATAATTGGGGGAGATGGGATCCCAAATTGGGGGAACGGAGATCAGGGTGAGTGGGGACCCCAAAATGTGGGGAGATAGGACCCCAAATTGGGGGAGATGGGATCCCAAATTGGGGAGATGGGATCCCAAATTGGGGAGATGGGACCCAAAATTGGGGGAGATGGGACACAAAATTGGGGGAGATGGGACCCCAAATTGGGGACATGGGACCCCAAACTGGGGGAGATGGGATCCCAAATTGGGGGAGATGGGACCCCAAATTGGGGGAGATGGGACCCCAAAATGTGCGGAGATGGGACCCCAAATTGGGGGAGATGGGACCCCATAACTGGGGGAGATGGGACCCAAAATTGGGGGAGATGGGACCCCAAACTGGGGGAGATGGGATCCCAAAATTGGGGGAGATGGGATCCCAAAGTGTGGGGAGGGGGGGGAGAGCCCCCAGCCCCCCCAGAATTGCCCCATAGCCCCCCCAAACCTGCCCCCAGCCCCCCCAATCCTTCCCCCAGCCCCCCAAATGAGCCCCCAGCCCCCTAAACCTGCCCCCAGCCCCCTAAACCTGCCCCCAGCTCCCCTAAATCTGCCCCCAGGCCCCCTAGAACTGCCCCAAACCCCTCCAAACCTCCCCCCAGCCCCCCAAAAGGTGCCCCAAACCCCTCCAAATGAGCTCTCAGCCCCCTAAACCTGCCCCCAGCCCCCTAAACCTCCCCCCAGCCCCCCCCAGCCCCCCAGATCCCCCCCAGCCCCCCAAACCTCCCCCCAGGTTGGGGTTCCCACCGGGGTCTCCTGGGGGGGACACCCCAGCTCGGTTGTTGGTGAGAGCAGAGCCTGTGGGGGGTGTCTTGGAGCCCCCAGACTCACCAGTGCCCCCCCAAAAATGAGGGTCCCCCTTCCCTGAGCCTTTTCCTCCCCACTCCCCGGGACAGGACACCCCATGGATGAGGACCGACCCCTCTTCGTGACCTTCAAGGGTGAGGATGGCACAGGCAGAGCCAAACCAGCACCCAAAACAACCCCCAGGCAGCCCCCGAGGGCACAGCAGGCGTGGGGACAGCACCGCAGGGTAGGACAGGGGGACACCAGGGGGGACACCAGCCCAGCTCACCACCCACACCCTCAGGGGCTGTGTCCTCATGGGCTGTGACATCTCCTGGCGCTGTCCCCTTCCCTCCAGGTGCCTCCAGGCTTCTGGTCACCTCCAGCAGCCCAAGCCCAGGCTGGGAGGGAGGCCCTGCGTGCCCACACCAGGCTGTGGTTTGAGCAGACACAAGCCCAGAGGTTGGGGGACCATGGGGAGCTCCCCTCGTGGTTCCACGGCTTCATCAGCCGCAGGTGAGAGAGGGGAGGGGACGGGGATGGTGTCCCCAGAGCTGGGGAGGAACAGGGGAACAGGGATGGTGTCCCCAGCCTTGGGCCAGTGTCCCCAGCCCTGGGTGGGAACAGGGATGGTGTCCCCAGCCCTGGGTGGGAACAGGGATGGTGTCCCCAGCCCTGGGTGAGGAACAGGGATGGTGTCCCCAGCCCTGGGTGGGGAACAGGGATGGTGTCCCCAGCCCTGCACGGGGAACAGGGATGGTGTCCCCAGCCCTGGGGAGGAACAGGGATGGTGTCCCCAGCCCCGGGTGGGGAACAGGGATGGTGTCCCCAGCCTTGGGGGGGAACAGGGGAACAGGGATGGTGTCCCCAGCCCTGGGCCAGTGTCCCCAGCCCTGGGTGGGGGAACAGGGATGGTGTCCCCAGCCCTGGGTGGGGAACAGGGGAACAGGGATGGTGTCCCCAGCCCCGGTGTCCCCAGCCCTGGGTGGAGAACAGGGGAACAGGGATGGTGTCCCCAGCCCTGGGTGAGGAACAGGGATGGTGTCCCCAGCCCTGGGTGAGGAACAGGGATGGTGTCCCCAGCCCTGGGTGGGGAACAGGGATGGTGTCCCCAACCCTGGGCCGGTGTCCCCAGCCCTGGGTGAGGAACAGGGATGGTGTCCCCAGCCTTGGGGGGGAACAGGGATGGTGTCCCCAGCCCTGGGCACGGAACAGGGATGGTGTCCCCAGCCCTGAGTGAGGAACAGGGATGGTGTCCCCAACCCTGGGGGGGAACAGGGATGGTGTCCCCAGCCCCGGGTGGGAACAGGGATGGTGTCCCCAGGCTGGGTGGGAACAGGGATGGTGTCCCCAGCCCTGGGGGGGAACAGGGATGGTGTCCCCAGCCCTGGGGGGGAACAGGGATGGTGTCCCCAGCCCTGGGTGGGATCAGGGATGGTGTCCCCAGCCCTGGGTGAGGAACAGGGCTGGGGTCCCTTCCCACAGGGAGGCAGAGGAGCTGCTGCAGGATCAGCCCCTGGGCTGCTTCTTGGTGCGATTCAGCGAGAGCACCGTGGGCTTCGTCCTCTCCTACAGGTGAGGGACTCAGGGATGCCCGAGGAGCTCAGTGCCCTCCTGGCGGCCGTGCCATGCCGTGCCATGCTGTGCAATGCTGTGCCTTTGCCATACCATGCCATGCCATGCTGTGCCATGCTGTGCCTTTGCCGTGCCATGCTGTGCCTTTGCCGTGCCATGCCGTGCCATGCCATGCCATACCGTGCCATGCCGTGCCATGCCATGCCGTGCAATGCCGTGCCCTCCTGGCCGCTGTGCCATGCTGTGCCTTTGCCATGCCATGCCGTGCCGTGCCGTGCCATACCATGCCATGCTGTGCCATGCCGTGCCGTGCCGTGCCATGCTGTGCCTTTGCCATACCGTGCTGTGCCATGCCATGCCATGCCGTGCCATGCCATGCTGTGCCGTGCCATACCGTGCCATACCGTGCCATGCTGTGCCATGCCGTGCTGTGCCATGCCATGCCGTGCCATCCCGTGCCGTGCCATGCCGTGCCCTCCTGGCCGCCGTGCCATGCCATGCCATGCCGTGCCGTGCCGTGCCGTGCCATGCTGTGCAATGCCGTGCTATGATGTTCTATGCCGTGCCATGCCGTGCCGTGCTGTGCCGTGCCATGCCGTGCCCTCCTGGCCGCCGTGCCATGCTGTGCCATGCCCTCCTGGCTGCTGTGCCATGTCATGCAGTGCCGTGCCATGCCGTGCCATGCCGTGCCATGCCGTGCCCTCCTGGCCGCTGTGCCATGCTGTGCCTTTGCCGTGCCATGCCATACCATGCCGTGCCATGCCATGCCGTGCCACCCCTTGTCCCGGCAGGGGCAGGGATCGCTGCCGCCACTTTGTCCTGGACCATCTGCCCGACGGGCGCTACGCGATCCTGGGGGAGCGCAGCGCCCACGCCGCGCTGGCCGAGCTGCTGCAGCACCACGCCACGGCCCCGCTCACGCCGTACCGCGAGTTCCTCACCGTGCCCCTGCCCTGCGCACGGGTGAGTCCCGAGAGAGCCCCCGAGAACCCCCCGAGCCCCATTCCCCCTCCACGGACAGCGGAATTTGCCCAAATAGCCAAGAGAAGTCCGAGCATCAGGAGCAAGGAGATGGCACACGGGTGGGTGCGCCGTGCCCACGCACCCATCCTGCATCTCTCTGCTCTCCCCGCAGCAAGAGAAGCCCCCAGGGCGGGCACAGCCCCCGGTTGGCAGCGATGCTGCCCGTTCCCCACCCAGCCAAGCCCCAGCGGAGCTCCCGGGGCACCGCTCCGCGTCCCTGAGGTCCGCCAGGGAGGTAAGAGGGCAGAGGGGATGGAGGCGCGGGGATGCAGTGACACCCACTCCCAGCCCTCACCTCCCTCCTGCCCCATCTCTCCCCCAGGCTCCCGGTGCCCCTCCGCCGTCGCTCCCGGCCAAAAGCGGCTCCCGGGGCGCGGCTCGGGGGGTGCTCAGCCCCTCCGGCAGCACGGCAGCAGCGCCCGAGGCTCCCTATGCTCAGGTGCACAAGGAATCAGCCCACCCCGAGCCCCACGAGGCCAAGTACCAGCAGCTCATGTGCTTCCACATCTACGCCGAGCCCCGCGAGGAGATGGCCCCCAGCACCCCCAGCTGCTGGAAACCCCAGGAGCCCATCCCCGAGGGTCCCACCCCCAAAGGACCCATCCCCGAGGGTCCCATCCCCAAAGGACCCATCCCCGAGGGTCCCATCCCCAAAGGACCCATCCCCAAAGGTCCCATCCCCAAAGGTCCCATCCCCAAAGGACCCATCCCCGAGGGTCTCATCCCCGAGGGTCCCATCCGCAAAGGACCCATCCCCAAAGGACCCATCCCCGAGGGTCCCATCCCCAAAGGATCCATCCCCAAAGGACCCATCCCCAAAGGACCCATCCCCAAAGGACCCATCCCTGAGGGTCCCATCCCCAGAGGACCCATCCCCGAGGGTCTCATCCCCGAGGGTCCCATCCCCAAAGGACCCATCCCCGAGGGTCCCACCCCCAAAGGACCCATCCCCGAGGGTCCCATCCCCAAAGGACCCATCCCCAAGGGACCCATCCCCGAGGGTCCCATCCCCGAGGGTCCCACCCCCGAGGGTCCCACCCCCGAGGGTCCCACCCCCGAGGGTCCCATCCCCTTCTATGCCATGACCCGCGGTTGGAGCCCCCGCACCAGCCCCGAGGAGAACATCTACGCCGAGGTGGGGCTGGCCTGGCAGGATGCACCCCCTCGGCTCCCCACGGCACCCCAAAACACCTTCTCCACGCTGCCCCCCAAAGCCCGGCCCCACCGCCGGCTCTTCCGCAGCGTTTCCAGCCAGGACGGCAAGAGGAGGCAGCCGGCAGCAGCTCCCAGCAGGGAGAGGAGGGACACAGGCACACAGGTGGGTCCCCAGGCAGGACATTGCTCTGGAGCTCAGCCCCAACACGAGGGAAAGGCTCGTGGAGGCTGAGGGATCAGGGTTTGCTCCACACCAGGAGCACAGGGAACCTGGAATGGTTTGGGTTGGAAATGGCCCATCCCATTCCACCCCCTGGCCAGGGGCAGGGACACCTTCCATGGTGCTCCCAGCCCTGTCCAACCTGGCCTGGAACTCTTCCAGGGATGGGGCAGCCACATCTTCTCTGGGCAACCTGTGCCAGGGCCTCAGCAGCCTCACAGGGAAGAATTTTTTCCCAATATCCCATCTAACTCTGCCCTCTGGCAGTGGGAAGCCATTCCCTCCCAAAATCCCACTGATCTCTGCCCTGTGGCAGTGGGAAGCCATTCCCTCCCAATATCCCATCTAACTCTGCCCTGTGGCAGTGGGAAGCCATTCCTTCCCAAAATCCCACTGATCCCACCCTATGGCAGTGGGAAGCATTCCTTCCCAAAATCCCACTGATCCCTGCCCTGTGGCAGTGGGAAGCCATTCCCTGTGTCCCAAAATCCCACTGATCTCTGCCCTCTGGCAGTGGGAAGCCATTCCCTGTGTCCCATCACTCCAGGCCCTTGCCAAATCTGCCCTGTCCCGAGCAAAGCCAAGGGCTGGGAGGGTGAAGGACCAACCTTGTGCTGTTTCCTGGCTCTCCAATCCACCTTTTCCCTGGGAATTGCCCAGGTTGCTGCGAGCCCCGAGCTGGAGCTGGATGATCCCGTGTACAGGAGCTCCCGCAGGGACCCGGCTGAGAACGTGTACGAGCAGCTGCCTGGGGACTGCCCCTGAGCTCAGGTGGGCTCAGGACAGCCCCTGGCTCCCCTCAGCCTCCACCCCACTGCAAACCCCTTGGCCATGGGAGGAGATGTCCAAGGCTGCTGTTGGCCCCAGCTGGTGATGCCAATCTGCTCCACCAGGAGCTTTTCCAGCTTCCCAACCCCACAGGGGGAGCAGGGTTACCTCACCCATAAACACATTCCCAGAGACTTCTGTTAATAAAATGACAAAAAGGGCTGTTAGAGGAAAAACAGGGATGGGTTTGGCACAGTTGGAGCATGCAGTTGGATATCAAACTGGCCAGAAACTGGAGTGATGCTGCACTGAACCTCCCCAGCCTGGAGCAAACCCTCCTGCTTCCTCAGGCACAAAATTTGGGGTGACACCACTGTCCCAAGGCTGTCCCGTGGGGCACAAAGCCTGGCAAGCCACAGTGGACCTGGACTAGGAGCCATTGGAGGGAAAAGGAGGGTTGGGGGACTGTGGGTGTTTTATCTCTGGGAATATTCCCTTCTGACCGTTCACAAACCTGGATTTTGTTGCTCTTAGAGGGCTGAAAGTGGAACATGAGCCCTTGGAACTCCCCTTGGTGCTAAACCCAAGATTTTATCCCAATTTAAAATGGAAAGGGGAACCTGGGAGCTGCAGCCCCACACAGGCTGTGCTCCACGCTGCAAACTCCCGGGCCAAGAGGGTACCTGGATGAGGATCCGAGCCCCACGGGATGGAAACGGGGCTGGGTGGGTTCATTTACAAGTAAATTCCTTTATCAAATCTCTTCTGGGAGGATTTCACTGTACATACAAGATATGAATAAATTACTCAACAGTAACTTTTATTCTGATCATTCAAATACTCAAAACAGGCTCTGCAAAGTACTAAACATACAGGGAGCTAAACTAAAAATGAGATTAGTTTAAAATGCTCTAAGAAAAGACTTCAGTCATGGGGGTTTGCCTGTTTTTAAGAGGTAACATGGGAGAAAAAACAACCTCTTGGGAGTTCTTCTTACCAGAATAACAAATATTGGCCATTTGAGCTGTGGTTACAACAAATAAAACCCATAGGGGTGGGAATATAAGTTAAATAACCAGGCCAGCTCTCTGCTCCCTTCAGCATCACATGCTTTGGTGAACAACAACGTGATGCCACGGATTTGGATCCATGGATTGGGCCAGCAGAGCTGCACAGGTTTTGCAGTCACATCACCTCGACAGAATCCCTTAAATTAAAAAAAAAAAAGGTTTGATTTGAAGAAATTAGGGCTGGGCAGTCGCCTCTTCCCAGCCAGGAGGGTAAAGTCAACACTTAATTGAAACAGAATTGATACAAACAAGCTGGGAAAAAAGAATTACAGTTGGCAGCTCTCCTCTGTGTCTGCCCAGAGGAAACTGCAGAGCTCAGCCCAGCCAGCCACACTGGGATACTCAGTCTGGTGAGTGAGAACAGCCTGGGGCAGGACAGAAGGCCTTGGGATGGAGGAGAAGGAAAGAGGAGGAAAAAGGAAGGACAATATACATGCACACATGGCTCAGGGTAACCCAAAGCCCTGAGTATGCCGGGCAGGAGAACCTCCCCTCCACGTGTGGTGGCACAGGCTCGGAGCTCAGTGGAGCCCAGAGCAAAAACAGCCACTTAAAAACCAGGATATCAAAATTATTCAAATTCATTGGCATGAGAGGAGTGCTGGAGCAGCCTGGACATGAGGAAAACAGCTGTGAGGACATCTTAAAGGTAAGGACAAAATAAAAATTCCAAAGCCAGGCTTGCTCTTGGAACTCACCGCGTTTTAGAAAGGAAAACGACACTCTCAATGCACAGCAAGTCCAAGAGAGGAGCGAAGTGGGAACTGGGAGTTTATTGAGCCTCTGCTGAAGGGTCTGGTGGCAGGAGGCACAGCCTGTTCCCTCAGGACAGGAGCTGCAGCCTCACACCCAGCACGTTCCCCGCGGTGCCTCCTTGGCTGATGGAACCTTCCACGTTATGGTTGACAAGGAGGGAGGGGAAGGATTACAGGTGGAGTTTCAGGACCTGCTTGCAATGCCCCTTCTTCCTGCCAGGCCAGGGAGTGCAGTGTCCTCCCAGCCCATCCTGGGGCTGGCTGATCTCCCAGCAGAGCCCGGCCAGGGCAGGTCACCCGGGACACCGGCCAAAAAGCAGGACAGATGTGTCAGAACCCGTACTTGGCTTGAGTCTGCCGTCTGCTGAGTTTGTTTTCAGACCATGTGTTTTTCAGTTCCAGTTCCCTCTCCTTGGCCTGCAGAGATGGAGAGCATGCTGTTAGCTGTGGGAATCCAGAGCTTCCCTCTGGCTGCCCTGGGACCCTGGCAGGGGTCAGGAACCCCCCTGGACAGAGCCCCCAGAGACACTGGCTGTGATCTCTGTCCATGGAAAAGAGTTTTCAATCTTACAGGATCAATTACCAGCTCTGAGTGTTTGATATAAGTAATAATTAAGTGTGGAACGGGTGCTAAAGTAAAATTTTAGGACTCTAGATTAGGGGTTCAAAGGGGACAAGATGGAGGAAATTGGGTGTGTCTTGTCCTTTTTCTTCTTCTTCATGCCCTCCATGTTTCACTGTGGTGTTGGCATTTTTCTGTTGGTTCAGGCTGGGGACACACTGTCCAACGTAGGTGACAGATATTGGCACGTTATTGTAAATCCAGCACAGGTAGTTTGTGGTATTTAATGTTTGTACCATCCCACTGAGGGGTGTTATTTTAATTATAAATTGTAAATATAATTGTAAATATAGCAGAGGTAGTTTCTGGTATTTAATGTTTGTAACATCCCACTGAGGGATGTTACATTGGCACATTATTGTAAATATAGCACAGGTAGTTTCTGGTATATAATGTTACATTGGCACGTTATTGTAAATATAGCACAGGTAGTTTCTGGTATTTAATGTTTGTAACATCCCACTGGGGGCAGAGCCCCACACGCTGCCCTGCAGGACAGAGCTGCGGCAGGGCAGCAGAACATGTTAGAGATAAACAGAATAAACAACCTTGAAACCAGCACAGATGAATTATGGCTTCTTCTTTGGCAGTGGGGCAGAAAGACAGAGACTTTTACAATCTCGGAATCATCAACAGCACAGATTCCGACAGCCAGCCTCTGTGTTTCAGTGACTCAGCAGCATTCCAGCCCCCTCTGGCCCTGCTGATGTGGATTAGGGAGCCCTTCAGCCAGCAGCCTCGTTACAGGGGTTTGCACAATCATCCTGACAGAGGCCTGCATTAATTGGGATGCACAAGCATTTCATTCATGCTGAAAAGCAGCTTCTGTGGGGACGGGCTCTGCAGCCAAGCCCAGGGCAGAATCCAGGACAGGGGTCCCAGAAGGTGCAGGAAGGGCAAAGCAAAGCTGAAAGCTCAGGACAGGGACACCCTCAGGGCCAGGACTCACCTCTGGCCCCACTGGGTCTCACCAGGACTCTGGGGGCTCTCAGCTGGTCCCCAGCAGCCCAGCCTTGTGTTGCCCTGCTAATTCTGCCCCACACACCACAGGGAGGCCACTCACCTGATGGATCAGGTAGGTGATCTGGTGTTTTCTCCTTTGCTGACCTGTGGGCTGATCTCCTTTTTTCTGGAAAGCAGAAAGAGGTGAAGTGTTCAGCCTGGAGAGGTGCTTCCCTGGACATCAAACCAAGACAAAGTCCTGCACACAGCCACCCCAAGCAGCATTTGTTCCCTATTAAAGTGCAGATTCCTCGGGCTGAAGCACTTCCTGGCTGGCCCTCCCCACCCACACAAAGTGTTCTGAGAAACTCTACTGGTCCCTCACATGTCATTATTTACCCTCCCTGGTGACTGCCCAGCACCCACAGAGCTCCAGCTGGGGCTGATTTGGGCTCCAACCACAGCCCTCACCCTCCACCCACCTTGCTGAATGACTTCATGGTCTTCTCCTCTGTCAAGGACTTGGTCAGCCACTGCTGGGCCCCGCTCAGCTGGTCGTCACCTTTGATGTCCACAAAGTTGATCTCTTCCCTGCCACGATTCCGCTTGCCCTGCAGACGCTTGAACTGCAGGAGGAACAGAGGAGCTGGAATTACACCCAACACTGACCCGACACAAGGCACAGCAAACAGTTTTCCAGCCAGGGTTTTGATCTGTCGGAGAATTTCAGCTTGTTGTACATTGGAAGGTAATAATTTTGTTTTCCTATGCAGAAAACAGCATTTACTCCTGCTTCCAGGCAGTGCCCATCCCCTGTGCTGGCACAAACCTCCAGTTCCAGGGTCAGTTTGAGGCCCTTCATGCCAAGAAAGAGATTGAGGAGCTGGAGCATGTCCAGAGAAGCAAACCAAGCTGGGGAAGGGGCTGGAGTACCAGGGGAGGCTGAGGGAGCTCAGCCTGGAGAAAAGGAGGCTCAGGGGGGACCTTGTGGCTCTGCACAATCCCTGACAAGAGGGGACAGCCAGAGAAGGGAACAAGGGACAGGAGAAAATGGCCTCAAGTTGTGCCAGGGGAAGATGAGGTTGGATATAGGGGTAATTCCTACACCCAGAGGATCGTCCAGCCTGTGGTGAAGTCCCCACCCCCAGAAGGATTTAAAAGCCATGTGGATGTGGCACTTGGGGACGTGGTTTAGTGGTGGCCTTGGCAGTGCTGGGCGATGGTTTTGGAGGCCTTTTCCAACCTCAACAATTGATTCTGTTGTGTGCTTATCAGGCCTGCAGAGCCAGCTGGAGCAGACTGGGGGAAGGACCCCACACGTGTCCACAACCCCAGAAAAACCACCCAGCCCAAGCCCCTGGAAACCCAGGCTGGCCAAAAGGGTCCCGTGTTCTGGCAGGGCTCAAAGCCCAGCTCCACAGAGGGACAGAAAACCAAGTGCCAACCGCTTCGTCGTCGATGAAGGAGGAGTCGGTGCTGCTCTCCTGTGGCGAGGCCTGGGCTGGTTCCACCTCTGGGTAGTACCCGCTGCTGTAGTAATCCTGGCAGGGAAATGGAAACCAGTTTGGCACCAGAGCACTCCTGGAGTGGCACCACAGACTGCCCCGTGGGCTCACTCCATCAGAGGGACAAAGCAAGGAACTTTGAGGGGCTTTTCACGAGGGTCTGGAGTGGTTTCCCACTGCCAGAGGGCAGGAATTCTTCCTTGTGAGGGCAGTGAGCCCCTGGCACAGGTTGCCCAGAGAATTTGTGGTTGCCCCATGCCTGGAAATGTCCAAAGCCAGGCTGGACAGGCCTTGGAGCAACCTGGGATAGTGGAAGGTGTCCCTGCCCATGGCAGGGGCTGGGACTGGATGGGCTTTAAGGTCCCTTCCAACCCAAACCAGTCTGGGATTCTATTTATTAGAACGCTATTAATTAGAATTTTATGTATTAGAATTCTATTTATTAGAATTATTAGAAACAACCTGGGCTCAGATACCAGCTCCAGTGAGCCCTGACTTTGCATCCTCACATCCAGGGCGTTTCCACAGCAGTGCAGCTGTCAAACATCTGTCCAGCAAAGAACATCTGCAGCTCTCACGCTGTAGGAATCCCCTTGTGCCTGGTACTGTGGCTCCTTGTGCCAGATAGCTCGGACTGGATTCCCTGCCCTGTGTCCCAGGTACCTCACACAGGCTGGATTCCCTGTCCAGGTACCTCACAGAGGCTGGATTCCCTGCCCAGGTATCTCACACAGGCTGCATTCCCTGCCCTGTGCCCCAGGTACCACACAGAGGCTGGATTCCCTGCCCAGGTACCTCACACAGGCTGGATTCCCTGCCCAGGTATCTCACACAGGCTGGATTCTCTGCCCAGGCACCTCACAGAGGCTGCATTCCCTGCCCAGGCACCTCACACAGGCTGCATTCCCTGCCCTGTGTCCCAGGCACCTGACAGAGGCTGGATTCTCTGCCCAGGTTATCTCACAGAGGCTGCATTCCCTGCCCTGTGCCCCAGGCACCTCACAGAGGCTGGATTCCCTGCCCAGGTACCTCACACAGGCTGGATTCCCTGCCCAGGTACCTCACACAGGCTGGATTCCCTGCCCAGGTACCTCACAGAGGCTGGATTCCCTGCCCCATGTCCAGGCACCTCAAAGAGGCTGGATTCCCTGCCCAGGTACCTCACAGAGGCTGGATTCCCTGCCCTGTGCCCCAGGTACCTCACAGAGGCTGGATTCCTGCCCAGGTACCTCACACAGGCTGGACTCCCTGCCTGATGTCCCAGGTACCTCACACAGGCTGCATTCCCTGCCCTGTGCCCCAGGTTATCTCACACAGGCTGGATTCCCTGCCCTGTGCCCCAGGTACCTCACAGAGACTGATTCCATGCCCAGGTACCTCACAGAGGCTGGAT